ACTTTATTTTTTACCGCGATATTTTCGACGACGATGTTATTAAACTGCGAAGTTTTTGAACCGATTTATTTTCGACGACGATATTTTGTACCACGATGTTTTAGAACTGCGATGTTTTCTCTTTGCGATGTTTTGTAGCACGACGTTTTCGCCTTGCGTTGTTTTCTCCGCGACGATTTTGCCGCGATGTTATCGGCGGACACCCATTTAGGTAGTCAATATTTATAAATATGACACTGTTACATGAGTTTAAATATCTCGTGATATAAGTCTCAGTCACAAAATGAAGATTATGTTAGAACATGATTTCAGATAAGAATTTTTATTTTAAATTTTTATTATAAAACTCATTATTTATTATAAAATAAACTATAAATGCAAATTTACACGCATTAATGTATCCATTCGATCAGAATTATACATGAAAATTACATAAATTTATTTTAAAAAATAATCAGTTATTTTAGTTTGTTTTGATTGCTAGGAACAAATTTCATGTCCTAAAAAGTCTCACATCTTTGTAATTCACGGAAAATGTTTTCCGGTACACTTTCTCCAAACTGTGTAGTAAAGTTTCATATGCATTTCACATATCTTCTGGCGAAGATTTTGTACATTCATTTTCATTAACGGTTTCTTCTTCATAATTATAAATCGCTCTCGGGCTGGCGTTGAATAGTATCTTCACAGCTGTAATATCAGGAGTTATCAGGATGATGCAACCCACTTCGCTGCCTTTTCCGCATGAGCCTTCTCCCCCCCCCTTTACCTCAACCATATAAATGTTCTCGTTTTAACATATATTTTAATGATTTCATTATGCATTTCAGGAAACTTTTATGCATTTTTTTACACATAGTTTGCATAATATTATTGTTTCCTGAAAGATCAACTTTTCCATGTTCGCTCGCAAACACTACTTCAAATTCATTTATTTTTTAACCACCACGAGAAAGTCTTTCTATCCAACCAACATGTTCATCTGAAAAGAGATGGAGTAACTGTTCTGTGGGTGTTTCTAATAAATGGTCATATTTTTTTCTACGGTAGGCTATGTGCCCTGCAAGATATCAAAAGCCCTGTACAGAGCAGTCAGCTGCAGGTTCACATGTGCAGAATCATCAAAAACATTATCCCTCATCTCAATTTCCCCATCTAATATCTTCAGTCATGTCAGGTACAATATTACCAAACAAGCGAGAATTAATATATGCCTTTTTCTCCTTATCAGAAGCAACAGAAGAGGTGTTGGAAAGTGAAATCTGACATGCATTATTAATCAACAGTCAAAGAAGAATCTAAAGCATCGATAATCCAAGCATTCGATATTTCACATCTACAAACAGTGGATGGTCCTAGACATGGCCCATTGATATCATAAATCATTTTTGAAATGGTAATAAGTGCTTGTGCGTTCCTGCTGCATTTGCGCATGCTAAAATTGTTAAAATTCATATCTGGTATTTAAATTTCAGGAGAAATATAAATGATGTCTCAAAACTCATAAGGAACATTGATGAAAAAGCAGAGAATGAAAAAGTGGTAAATAGGATTAAATTTCACGAAAAAGTCTCTCTTGACACGGCTGGGTTCCGAACTATTGATCATGGTGTTCGTAGCATAAGACGTTTCCTCTGTCTTGCCTACTCTCATGTGCTCACACAATGCACAAAATTCTATAGTTCTTTGCTAGATTGCTTCATGCATCCCACATGCACAAGCTAATACTGTATCCGAAACAGGTTTCCTGGAATCTAGAATATCAAATAAATTATTCACTAGTTCAAAAAAATCTGGAGCGTTCTCTTGTTCTGGTGCAAGACAGCAGATACCTTGTATGGTTTGAAAATAATTGTGCAGCTAAATATACACGCTGGCGTTCATTTCCTTTGACAGTAATGTGACCTGCTATCCACTGATAACCTTTCGACGGGTTCGTTTTTTATTAATTTATTTCCTAGAAGCATTAATCCGCCATCCAAGAAGTGACTGCGAAGAAATCTCAAAAGATGTTTCATATTAGCACACACCCACAACCATTTACTACAGTTCTGTGGATGTGTAAATCAGCTGTTAAGATGAGTAATTTGAAATTTTGTCCACACAGCATGATTTCGTCCACCTAAGTCAAGCTACAGCTGCAACAACATAACATCCAATTTCTGCCAACGACAGTATTATAATCTTTCAATACTTCTGCAGTCATTTGTGCATCAAAGTCAAAACATATTTGCTGCTCCAAACTTGCGAGAACTCCTCGCACCACCATTTCTTGAACACTTCTATGTGGACCAACAATCTTCTCCTCTGCTTGGTCATAACAAATTCTGCTACCTACGTTCATTACATCGATTGAAAGAACACACATACGTTCTTGGTCTGTCACTTTAATGCTCAGCGCGCATAACCTGAAGCACATCATATAGCAAAACGAGCAGGAAACCCATCTTTTCAAGTCAAAATGCTAGGAAATGGAAAATCCAAGTTTAGTCCGAGATAGTTGTAGCATCTTCAGGATACTGACACCTAAGTGTTGCGGATTTGCATATGTCTTCTGCATTCCACTTAAAATTGTTTTTATTTGAAATGGGAAAACGAATTTGGTTGTCAGAAAAATTGTCCCTAAAAACTTCACTGTGTACTTTGTTACTTTCCTCCTCATTTTCTGAAAGCTGCGCAATTTTTTACGAGAGGCAGCAAATTCAGTAAAAATAACTCTCCTTTGCATTTTTAATTAAAAACATAACATATTTATTCAATCTCCTATTTTATTTTGCTAACATTTTCGCATGTTGAATTAATTCAGATGTGTTAATGGATGTAAACTGAGTTGCTCGCTCTATCTTATAAGTTTGTAGCCTTTTCTTTTTGTGGGAAAGGGAAGCTAAATTTTCCAAATTTTCTGTCTGCACTACGCATCACTCTTTTGCCACCTGTGAAGAAATCCCAGCTAAAATCGATTCCGGTGCTGAAATTTCTGTTTTTATTCCGAAACACAAACCAGATCTATCTATTGAGAACAACTGTACTATTGACCTAATTTCCACCTTTTGGTGCAACATTTCAGGGACTGATGAACCAAGCACTCGCTAAATACTACAAAGATTTCGCTTCAGCCTACATCGGTGACAAAGCATTTTATTCAGAGAATGAACATTTAGAACATCCCGACACAATCTTTTCAAAATCGTTAGAACCAACGTTTCCAGTAAATCTCAAGATATTGCTAACACTGACATTAAGTATTTGTGACATATAATCGTTTCCGGCAGTCATTGTACTGATCCAGAGAAAGTGGAGACTATCCAGAAACTAGCTAGTTCTCAAAGAAGCAATTGAAAGTGTTCTAGATCTATGCAAATATATTACAGACTTACCTTCCCCATTATGAAGAAACAGCTTATTCATTAACAGAGCTTACCAAAAGAAGACATCCCGAATAGTTGTGCTGGACAGAAAAACATGACAAAGCATTTGAGGAGGTAAAGAAGTGTCTTGTAAAGGCACTCAGTCTTCATACCCGTTCCATGGTTACCTTTTATAATTCAATGTGATGCATCCTCAGCAAGTGTTGGTGCTTGCTTAGCTCTACATAAGGATGTACCCAATTAGTTATGTTAGCCAGAAATTACCCAAAGCACAAGAGGTGTGGCCAACCATTGAAAGGGAAGCCTATGCTCTGATCTGGCGCCTAAAAAAGTTCGAAACATGGATCTTTGGATCACCCATGAAACCGATCACAATCCATTAACTTTCATTACAAAGAATGCACCGCTATCTGCTAAGCTACAAAGATGGGCTCTAGTATTACAGAAATATGATACTACCATTTCGCATTGGCCAGGTGCTAAGTTGAACAATGCCAATGCGTTGTCCAGACTGGAGACTGAGTGACTAGAAAGTAAAGAACTCTTTTCAGACATTTATAAACTCTTAGGATTAATTTTGTGTTTTCTTTCGTAGCTACTGTATGACACTATAGACACTTTAGTGTTATTCTGTTCTAGAATTCTTTTGCATACTAACTATTAATCATATGTTACAGCTTTAGAAGTCTCACTGTAGATGTAGAAGTAATCTGTATAAGTAATTTAGTATGTAACTTTCAACTTCATTATTGACAATAATAGGTAAATAATTCTTTTATGCGACATCCCCAATTTTATCATATTTTCAATAGGCTTTCGTCTTATTTTTATCTTGAATAGGGGTGTGATGTATGGGTGACATTAACTAATGCCATGATAGAAGGTGCTGGATCTCTGTCTGAGAGGCGCCAAAAGGTGATTTTTCTAAGAGGAAGACCTAGAGAGAAGTCAGAAAAGAGGAATCTTATGGGAGCAGTCAGTGAAAACGAAATAACCCTATAATAATTAATGTTTGTATTTCAGATATTAATTGTCTAGTTTTAGTGATCTAGTGTGTAGTTTTTCTATGTGTAATAAATATTAAAAATATGAAGAAGCTTGGACTATTTCTTTCATGGAGCAAGAGGAAGACTGAGTGATATTACAATTATGAAAATAAAATTAATAATTAATGCATATATTACTGTATGGATAAACTTAGTAATATATCAGTAACTTGTGTTAAACAAAATTAAATACATCTATTAACTAATTAAACACTGGTTGAATCATCTACAAGGTCTATAGTATATTACCAGAATTCAAATCAAATAATATTTAATAAGCAAAATTAGAAAATCACTATGGCAGGGGAAGGATTGAATTTGCAGCATTGAAATTTCATTAATTCAATGAATTAATTTATTTCTGGGAAACATTTTCCTTAGTAAAAATGAACAATTAAAAACTAGATTATCTACCAGAAGATGAGATGAAAACAGCAGCTGTAATAGAGTTAACAATTAAAGAAATTTGCTATATTTGTTATTAAAGCTGCTTCCTTGAACTATGTCATCTTCCCCAAAATATAATTATCCTATGAAAAGAGAATGATGAAATAAGAAAACTTTCTGTAAATAAGTTTTCATCACAGAAATTACAAAAATATTTATTTTTATTTCTACAATATTTTAGATTGCTATTCAACAACGAACAGATAAGAATAGAGTGACAGTTTCGTAGTCCAGAAAGCAGTGGTATCGCACACCTATTAATCCAGCACACATATATCCAGTATGAATACTATCTCATTAAGCTATGATGATTTGGAAGTAACCAGAAAAGTACAACTATTGCTTCACAGGAAGGATCAAGGATCATTACTGCTGAATGTTAAGCAAAAAATCTACTGAAGGCAACAAAAATATTGACAGTTTTCATTATCAAATAATCTGAACTGCTGAACTCAGTCCAATGTGTTTATTCCTAAACAATTCTCTTATTACACATTCTACTAAATTTTTTTAATGGATTGAAGAAGCCAAAGATCAGTCAGTTGTGAAAAACTTCAAAGCTGTCAAGAATTGTGGAAAGTAATAAGACAGAAGGTTTAACTAATTAATTGCTAGAGCATTAAATACATTTGTGGAATTTTACAGCATAATAACCGTAAAGAAATAAATCTTCATATTCTCTTTAATGATGTTTCAATCAGAAGGTGAATATTTGAACCCTGAAGAGCTTTCATGAAGCAACAACACGGCAAATTCTTACACATAAGTTAACACAAAACGCATTATCTATAGTTTATCTTCTAATATGTTTCCAGTTACTAAATCCATTCACAGAATCACTCTACACAAATTTTGTTTAGTTTTTGTACTCTCACAATACATTAAATCTAATTTACAAAATTGTTATGGCCAGATAATAGGTCTTGCTCCAGCATGTTTGTTGCATTGCCGAAGTTCTGAACTTGATACGTTATTTGTACTGTAACTATGCTTCTAAAAATTAAACTGAAGGCTTTGTCTGGGAATTAAAATCAGCTGAAAACTCACCCTGTCTTCCCAAATCCATCAAAGAGTTCTTTATCATACTCTTCTAAAACTTTCATAAAGCCATCATTTGGTCTTATGTTTGATCTCACACTTTTAACAAGAGCGTATGCTTCCTTAAGCTTCATGTGATATTTTTTCATCAAGTATGCAATGACAATAGTTGGAGCACGTGAGACACCTGCATTACAATGAACCAATGTGCAGCCTTCCTGCCGCCCATCATCAATGAATTCAAAACAACCATCGAAGAACTTTCTAATATCTGTTGATGGATCATCTAATACTTCCACATTTTTGTAAATGAATTTGGACTCAAAATAATTAGGAATTTTATAGCCAACATTTAAAATGTGAGTCACATTAAAATCTTCTAATATCTTCAACTCCATGGCTACATCTTGAGAACCTAAATATAAATAAGAAAAACAAAAAAGAATATCCAAAAATATAAAACAAAAATAAAGTTTTATATATAACTGATTTTCAAACACACATAAGCTGGAGTAATATAAAGTAGCTAATAAAGGTTTAAATTTTTTCATTTAAATTAAAAGGGAATATTTGACCATGAGAGCTTTCCTCACCCAAAGGCAATCTGGTAATTATATAAATATACAAACACTAAAATGAAAACAGTAAAAATGTAAATATTAATACGAAAGATACATGACAAAATAGAAAATTTTTAAACATAAAATACAAATTAAAATGGAATATTTACAATGAACAATGAAACTACAAAAGTATGAATATTGAGTTAAACATCCACACATAGTAATAAACAATAGTATTTCATAATGTAAAATACAAGAAAAAAGGAATATTTTCCACAAAATTACAAAACAAAAGGGATATTTACAACAAAACTACAAAAGAGTGAATGCTGAAACAAACACCATTAGCAAATAACAATAAGCAACTGTATTTTACAATGTAAAACACAAGACAAAATGTAATAATGAAATTGCAAAAGCCTGAATGCTATAGTAAACACAATTATTATATAGCAATAAACAATTGCAATTTGCAATGTAAAATACAAAACCAAAAGGAACAAAATTCTAAAAGCATGAATTCTGAAGCACACATCACTACTTAGCAAACATCATAACTGCAATCTAAGCTGAAAGTTAAATGGAATATTTACAACAAAATTGAAAAATGGTGGACCTTGTAGCAAACACCAGCATCACACAGCAATAAACAATTGTCTTTTACAATTCTAAATACAAGACCTATGGAATATTTGCAATGAAATTACAAGGATATGAATGCTGAAGCTATTGCCATCACCACACAACAGTAAACAATTATATTTTTCAATGTAAAAAAAAAAAAAAAAAAAAAAAAAAAAGATAAACAGGAATATTCACAATGAAATTACAAAAGTGTAAATGCTAAAGTAAACACCAATAGCAATAAACAATTGCATTTTACAGTGTAAAATACAAAGCAAATGAAATTTTTACAATAAAGCTGCAAAAGTGTGAATGTTAAAACACACAGTACCCCCATATAGCAATAAACCATTGTATTTTAATAACTAATTTATTTACATTGCCATTTAATTTTATATTACAGTCAGAAGTCTTTAATCCGGACGTCCATAATCTGGAATGATCTATAATCCAGACCTCAAAGCTACAAACTTTCTGCACATGCGTAAATGGATAATGCGTCTACGCATGTGCATAATACGTTTATGCATGTGCATTTGATGTATAACGGACGGTATAAGCTAAGCTAAAATTATCTAATTATCTATTTCAGTTAATGTTGCAGATTGCATTGTTCCTTAATCTTCTAATTGGATCCGGCTTATTATTTTTTGCAGACTGTTAGAGCAGTTTTATAAAAGTAAGCTTGAACTTTCGATTATGTCAAAAAGAATTTCCGATTCTGGAGCTGCCAAAGGATCTACAAAGCGAAAGCATGTTTCGATGTCCATCAAACAAAAAGTGGAATTGCTGCAAAAAATGGATAAAGGCATATCCTTTGTTTCTCTAACCATTCCGAAATCTGTTTATCAATTTCACGCTGCTCTACAGGGGGGGGGGACGTGAAGGCGCGCAATGAACTGGAAAGTTGATCTGTCAGCGCTTTCTGTATCTTCAGGGCAGATGTTTTTATTTTATTCGGCTTATAATTCCTTACTAAATGTAGTATTTCATCTCAATGTACACCCTCTTTGATATGATTTAAATCAAATTCCTCATCATTATAAATATCCTGAATACACATCAAATAGTTTTCTAGTTGCAATTTTCTAATTTCGACTATGCGTAATGTATGCTTTACGCATGCGCACGTTGAAAGAAATGTTTAATAAAGTAAAGAAATAAATATTAAGCTTTTTTTTTTTTTTTTTTACCCTTTAGATCATAATTGCTCTTTATTTCATAAACTACGGTTTCATATTTTTAATTTTATAATTTCTGCATGCCATCTTACCAGATTTAAACTGATAATCTATAGTCCAGAAAAATCGATAATGTGGAATCGCTGAAGTCCCAAAGAGTCCGGATTAAAGACTTTTTCATTTTATAATGGATTTTTATTTCTTATTTGCATGTTTTTTTGGAATGCTGTTTTTTGGAGGGAAAGTTTAAAGTAGATCTGATTATATTTCATACTATAAATGGCAACATATGTTTATGCATTATTTAGCATAATGCATGATTTAAATTCAATATACATATTTATTATTCTGTTGTTATTATTTTATTTTTAATAGCTCATGTAACTCACAGTACATATAAATCAGAATGTATCTAACTAATGATGTTTATAAACACTAGCACTGTTGTTATCTCTACATATAATAAAAGAAAGAGTCTTTCGTTCATGCTGCACGCAAGCTTATAGACCCAGGGCTAAGAAATTTGGTACCTAAGTGCACCTAGACAAGAGCCAGTGCACCTCGAAGTGATTTTTTCAAAATTCAAATCAGATTTTTTTATCTTGTCTTTTTTTATGAAATGGCATCATTTTCAATAGTTTCATTCTTTTTTGGCAACAGTTTTTCATTCAATGCTTTGTATACTGGCCTGCTGACTGTTGAAAGTATGAGATAAAATGCTGCTTATTTTCTTTTTATTTTGGGGCACGCAACATGTACATCGCAATCTTATTCTGACGTGAATGTGTCTCACGAGGCACAACAGAAAGAATTTCCTTTTTTTTCTCTCTCTTAGCTAATAACAAAGAGGTTTGTATATTTTGAATAATGTCATTCCATTATGTGTACGTATGTGCTTTCTGATGATAGTTTCATTCTTTTAGAAATTCATTCTTTTGATTTTTGGACATGCACATTGCAATCTTCTTATTCTGAATCAAATGTGTCTCACAAGCCACAACAGAAAGAATTTCCTTTTTTTTCTCTTTCTCTTTTTATTAACTATTGGCAAAGAGGTTCATATATTTTGAATTGTCATCCCATTATGTGTATGTGCTTTCTGATGATAGTTTCATTCTTTCTGATGATAGTCTTTAAAGATTTAAAATGCGTTTTTTTTTTTTTTTTTTTTTTCCCCAATTCATTGCTTTAGATACTGGACTACTGACAGTTTTCTCTTGAAATATGAGATTTATTGCTTATTTCATTGTAATTTTTATATTATGTTTTAATTATATATAATTTTAATTACATAAAAAGTTTTGCATGATTTATTTTAAGGAAACAATGTTCTTAACTTCCTTTATACCATTTGAGTTCTTAAGATTTTACACCAGGAAGTTAGTTACTTTATTTATTAGGATAATTAATATTTGTATTAAGGGATATTGCTTATTTCATTGTAATTTTTTTATATGTAATACATTTTTATTAAAAATTTGTGTTTTTTTTTTTTTTTTTTTTTTTATTTATTTATTTATTTATTTTATTTTGATAAAGCTGTTCTACAGAGTAAAATTCTGTGCAGTTTTAAATTTAATGTTTGGTCCCTTTAGACATTTTTCTGGTACATTTAAAAGCCAGACAAAGGCTCGCCACATAGCGTCTAGTAATTAATAAAACATAATTTTAATTCAATGCATTACAGATTTTGATACAGAATAATTGTTTGCAAACACCTTATATAAGTTTTTAACTCTTTGCACTGAAGAATGAATTCTCACTTGCTATTCAAAATATTGTACAAAGATTAAGAACTACTTCAATAACATTTTATTATGAGTGTCTATTTGCCAACAACCACATCAGTGTTACTTTCCAAGCCTGAAAAATTAGAAAATATTCTTTTATCTGACACTTGACTTGAGTTAATAAAAGTTTGGATGACAGTGTCATAACTTCCATCATTAAACAAGAACTATGACATTAAGTCTTTAAAGATTTAAAATGCTAATGAAAGGTAAAATGCATATTTTCTTGCATATATTTATTACATAAGCTCTTGCTATAATATGTTTTGAACATCATATAACACAAGTTATGAGCCCATTGTTGAATACATTTCTTTAGATAAAATGACAAGAACATTATTTAAGTCAATGCAATGCTTGAGAAATTCACTACATATACTGAATCAATCTTTTAAGTCAGCAATAGCGGAAGTTTATGTTTCATACACTTTGTCTTTGAGAGAGCTGTACAGCAGCTCTGGAATACATACTTTTGGAGATACATGATTAATGTAGGCAGGGCATTCAAGATAATTGCCAGTAACAGTAAAAACAACAAAATGTTAAATTTCATTTTAAATCAGTTAAACACACTTGAGTCCATGAATATCATCACTTTAGCTAGGGATGAAGTTAAGAAACAATTAAAAATCAGAAACAATTAAAAAATTGTTTCATCAAAGGAGAGTCTTCAAATCCAGAATCAAACAAAAACATCAAAAACAAATACAATGATGAAACTGTGACTCAGATCACGAACTGAAATTTTCTGGAAGCAGAGGTTAATTTTGAGGAATATATAAACTGTGATGCCAATCTATGATATCAAAACAGCACACAGTTAAAGAACTGATTGAAAAGATTACCGGAAAAATATTTCAGTCACATGATTTAAAAAAAAAAAGGATATTAAAAAATTAATCCCACCTTCTAATCAAGACACAGCACATTGGTTGACAATATCAGACATTTCTTTTTATGTCACACTACTAATAAAAAGTTTATTATCTGATTCATTAGGCTTTACTTAAGGATAAAAACCAAATATCACATTAGATAGTGCTTCAAAAATACTTTTTTTTAACTTAAATCTGCAGCTATATTAAAATCTTACAGGTGAGAAGTGTTATAGATTTATGATAGGTAATGACTAATAGATTTGGCCATAATCTTTTTTTTTTTTTTAATAGTATGCAATTTGAATTCTTATGATTTAAAAAAAATAAATAGTTTCACTTTCTGAAAAATACATACAGTGTCTCCCAAAAGTGTTCGCACACCTTAAGAATTTGTAGGGAAAGCAATGTAACCCAGAGCTGAATTCAAATATAAAGCCCAATATTTTTTCATATCATCTCCATATGATTTTGAATAAAACCAAACTTTTTAATTTTTAATACTAACTTATTTTCTTTTTCTAAAATTGAAAATGGAAGGAGGCATACATAAAGCACGCTACAAAAAATGATCGTACACTAAAACATTTTCGTAAAATTTCATAAATAAAATTATTGTCTACCCCTTTTGTATTTTTTTTTTCCATTTTGCATTTTGCTGACGTTTAAAAAATCGTTTGGCTTTATTTTTTGCTTTCTTACTTCATTATATTTTTTTTTTAAATGCTTAAGAGTGGCTCATATTCCTAAGGAAACAACGAACAGCATTCCAAAATTTATAATTTTTTATAATCGGAATATCAATAAATTAGTAAATTTCTCCCATTCTATGGTGAAGTATATCATAAAATGCTTTAAAGAAGAAAATAGGATCCAAAATAAAGTAAGAAGAGGCTGTCCGGCAAAGAGGACTTGATGTGACTCAACATGATCTGAGATTTATAATTACAAAATCTGAGAAAAACCCATGTTTGAATGCTTTAAAGATTTCTACAAAATTTACTGAAAATTTTTTACTCCAATTTCATTTAAAACCCTTCAACAAGTTCTCAGATCAGCTGGATTACATTGGCACTTTGCTCAAAGAAAATATTTTTGAAGTGCAAAAAATAAAAAGCTTAGGCTTTTCTTCTCAAAATCAATGGTAAATAAGTCTGAAGCGTACTGGAATCATGTCTTATTTGCAGATAAAAGAAAATTTAGCATTCCTGATTCCGATAGGCATATAAGTCTATGGCGAAAAATTAAGGAGCTTAATCCCAAGACTTTGGTTGGAACAGTAAAGCATGGAGGTGGAGGTGTTCTTGTGTGACGGGTGCATGTCAGCATCAGGATTAAATAATTTAGTATTTACTGATGGCACAATGAACCATGCTTTTTTTTTTAATATTTTAAAAGATAATTTAAAATTATCTGCTTAAAATTTGGGATCTGGAAACAACTTTTTTCTTATCAGGATTCTTATCAGCGGCCCTCAATGTTCAACTTTTGGGTGTCTATAATTGTCCACAAGTTCTGAAAACATCACCTCAGTCACCAGATATAAACGCAAAAAAACATATTTGAAGAGAATTAGAGGTTATAGTATGAAGACAAAACATTAATAAAAAAACCAAACTAAAAACAGTAATGATGAAACAATGGAGGAACATTGAGGTAGATATTACAAAAACACTGGTGACTCTATGCCCAGATGTTTGAAAGCTGTCATAAACACTGCAAGATATGCTACAAAATACTAACTTACAGTAATACTACAATATTTAATAATATGTGCAAATTCGTTTAAAGCATACGAAGACTTTTGTGAGGTAACGTTTCTGTTACTTTTTTATTAATGATTTTCCTAAAAAAAAGTTTTAATATAGTCAAACAATGTAATTTAGCTAAGAGAAATTAATAGGTATTACTCAAAAATTTTCATTCTAAAATATTAATTTTTAATAATGAATAAAGTGATATCTATCTGAAACTCTTAAGTGTATGAACACTCTTGTAAGCCATTGTACAGTATTTCAAATTAAAAGTTGGGAAGGAAAAAAAAAAACAGAGTATTTCAAATTAAAAGTTGGAAAGGGAAAAAAAAAAACTTATATAATAGCAGTAGAACAGTAGTAGCATTGAAATTCTACAGTTTAATCACGTCTGATTTCTTTATGCAACCTTTACACAGTACATGCTTGACTATACCGAAAGCTTGGGAAATGATGGATATGTGAATATTCTGGTTAGTTGAGCATACAAAGAAATGTAATGCACATTTAAAAGTATTTAAATGAATAAAAAAAATTTCCTGTCTAAAATTACAAAAAAATAACTTTATTTGTTATCAGAAACCTACATTTAAAATTATGTAAGACTGCAGAAAAAAATGCATTTCCTGCATAAAAGCTGACGTACGTTTGTAAGCCTTAAACACATAAATTAAAATATTTCAAGGGATTATGAAGTACCAATGACCATGAAATATGGCAGAGACCTCACCAAACTTGTGCCAAGCATTTTAGCAGAACTACTGGCTATTCCTTATTTAGTTAGGTAATTACGAGATACAAGTTACGGATCAAGTATACATCAATAAACTTAAATTGTTAATCATAATTTTTCACATTGCATCACTAATGTTTATCAATTTTCATATAATTTGCATATAATGCTTGTTAAAGCAACTTTTCTTGATGCCTAGATCTGTAAATTTGAAATATTCCTTGTATGATATTATGAAGAAGGCAGGTCGCAAATTCAAATCATTTTCGTCAAACAGTGGGTGTAAGACACAGAAACAGCAGATGATTTATATCTTTAATAAAACTATACTAGCTTATCAAGAATTAAAGGGGATTTACAGTATGGCATGGCAAAAATTTTATCATTGTTTGTATGTCATGTTTATCATTATTAGAGCTACACAGCACTGTCTAGCAATAGCTTTTGTTCACTGAAAACTGCTAGACTAGAAAAGATGCCTGTATGGAGCATTTATTTCAAAGATGAATTCTTGGAATATGAAGAATACAACAGTGGGAAGAATATAAGTGACATCTTCTGAACGAAAACCGAATAATTATTATTTACATTTTAGATGTTATAGAAAAATTTTGAATTACTATGATGCCTTTACAAGTCTTTCATTTGTGTAAATTTTCATTGAAAAATTTCTAAAATACTTCAGTTATTCCAGCTTTCCTGTTAACTGAATAACAGATAGTCCAGCTTTTACTGTATTTTTTTTTTTTTTTTTTTTTTTTTTTTTTTTTTTTTTTTTTTTTTTTTTTTTTTTTTTTTTAGTATACAATAGAAGGACTGCATAGGTATACAAGAATCAGCACAAATCAAACTAGTATTACATAATAAGTGCATATATATAACAAAAAGATTATATAAAACAAAATTCTAACTTTTATTTGCAATGGAAACTTAATCTAATCTGGGAATTTTGCCTTTCTGTCCTAAAATATAATAACTACTTATAATAAGTTTCTCTAAAATATGTCATTTCAAAATTAATCCTCATCATAGGATTTTAATATTTAATATTTAAAATTTGAAAATGGAATGTTTGCATTATTCTATCAACTGCTGTTCTGCTAACATGTGGCCATTTTCCTTTATCTCATCAAATACATTATAGTTAAGATGTGAAAAAAAAACACAAAATTATTTAGGAACAGGCAGATTGTACCAACTTAGCAGTATATTTTATATTCAAGAATGGTTTAACAATAAAAGAAAGTGTTCAATCAGCCACAGCTGCCTCTACAGCTTTATCATATAATGAAAATATTTATTACCAAATACATATGCTAGTTGTGTTACTTATTTCCAAAAATGAGTAGTTTTCAAACTTAACTATGTTGCTTGAAAAAAATGTACAAGACATTGCAAATATGTCATCATTACTTTAGACTATGACAATATAAATTTAAAGACATTCAACAACACAAACAGCAACTGTCAAAACAAAGCAGGCAATGCAGTCATAGTTTCAAATGTTTTGCTAATTTTTATTGCTACAGATAGTGAATGTGTCTATTTATTTATGTTAATGATCCTTTACATATTTAACTAAAGATGTGACTGAAATATTCTAGTAGTGCAGTAGAACTAAACAGAGATAATGAAAATAGCACACATATATATTAAATTATTAAATTTTTCCTAAGATACAGGAGAGAACATATTTCACTGTAATCCGACAATTCCCCATCACAACTTGGTGGTTAATGATATATAATCTAGATATAAAAAAATGTCTACTCACCAAGTATTAATCCTTGCACAACCAGTGACACGGTTATATCTTCTTTGTTATCCACAACGTACCCCGTACTGTTGCCGGATTTTAGAATAGTATATTTTCCAGAATCTTGTAGTGTTTCTACGTACTGTTGGCCGTCTCCCGCAGTCACTTTAGTTGAAACTCGTTTCAGTCTGTCACTTCGAAATCCCCGAACTTGATCCAGTAAATCTGTCGGTTGCATTTCACATACGAAAGCCCAAGAATGTAAACACTGCAAAGAAAAGAAGCATTACTCATAATATAAAAAGCGAATAAAATTAATTTCACTGGGATAAATCTTTATTCATCTTATATGTATATAATAAATATATATGGACGCTTTACGTGTTTCTTCGAGCTATTTTAAGTTTAAAGTGATTTCAAAATTAAGTACTATCTTCATGGCTGAATGGGAAGAGCAAAGTTCACGTTTTGAGCAAAAAATGGCCCAAACGCGATAAAAAGTATGATCTGAAGAATTTCTATTGCTTGATGTTATCATGATGAAGAAAATATAAAAGATATCACAGCCTTGAACTCCGAGACAAGCTTCAACAACAAGTGAATACGAAATATGACAAATGTAAACAAACAAATCATTCGACTGGAGTAATGCCAGATTTCAAAGTAAAAATTCTCAACAATCAAGGTCAATACTTACCTTCTGCACAGCCATTTTACTCGGTATAATAAAAATACTTTATTTGCCGGTGTATCAGGCGCACTTTTAGGTCTGAAAAATGGAGTGCGTCTTCTACGTCGATACTCAGGTTTTGATTGCATTCATTTATGGAAATTTCCTCTTTTCGGAGTTATGCGATTTTTTTTTTTTTTTTTTTTTTTGGCGGAGTGTGGGAATATTACAGTTACATAGATTTCAGTGAATGCGTCATCGACGATCACAGCTGGGTTTGTTTAAACTTTCCAATTTTTGTGAGCGACTGGTAAGTGTATGAAATGTCTAGTGTTCAATTTTTTTAAATTTGTTGGCAAGTTATGGCTCAAAATCAGCTTCGGTATTGCTATAACATTGCATACAAGCTACGTGTGATTGCGTATGCTAAAGAACATGGAAACAGGGCTGCAGAAAGGCATTTCGGGTCACCCCCAACTGAGAAAATAATAAGAACTTGGCGGAATCAGGGAGAAGGATCTTAAAAAAAAGCTACTCACAGTAACCTACGAAGGGGAACACATTGGCCTGAACTTGAGGCAGAGCTGAATACTTGGATTTAAGACCACAGAAAAGCGGGACTTATAGTCTCTACAAAAATGATTATTTATCAAGCGATTAAAAGGTGTTCTTTCGCAGATATATTGGGTATTTGCAGAAGGTATTACTTTGTATTTGTATTACTTTACATTTAAAATACTGCAAATTCATTATAATGATCAGTAATAAAATTTTATCTTTCAAAAATGTGTATAAAAAAGGGGTGCGTCTTATACGCCGGAAAATACGGTAATTTAAAACTATAGTAGACGCCACGTAATGTACTCGTAGTTAATTTTATCATTCAGATATTGTTATCGAATGGAGTAAATGTTTTAAACTGAAGAAAAATCTGCAAAATAGGGTCAAAATAAATTATAAAAATTTCCAAATGACACAAAAATGTTGCTAAGGTGCTGGTTTTATTATTATTATTATTATTATTTTAGCCTACTATATAAAAGTCGGCAAAAAAGTCATGTATCTTTCAAGTAAATTTTAAACAATTCTACCGAAAGCGATCAGATACATGTCTCTTTTCTTGAGAGTAAAAAGAAAAAAAAAAAAAAAAAAAAAAAAACCTCTCTTTTTTGAAAATAAAATTCTCTGATTTAAAAAAAATTCTTTTTCAATCTGAAAGGTTTCAGATTTTAAATGATGTCCAAAGGGGCGCTTTTGTAATGTTTTGTTATCTTTATTTATTAAATATCACGTTCTTTGCACTTAAATCATAAAATTCAGTTCAATAGCAAAATCGCAAAATTTTTAAAAAGAGCATATCTATAGAAGTCCTGATACACAGTCTCACGCGCTGAAGATAAAAAGTTTTTTTTTTTTTTTTTTTTTTTTTTTTTTTTTTTTTTTTTTTTTTTTCCGTAGAGTGCTGCCATTGTTCGCTTTGAAATCCTTGAGTTTGTTACTCAAAAATTCGTTAAAGTTTTACAAAATATGGAATCGATAATAAAACAAATTTCAAATTTGGTCTTCCACATGCCCATATTCGTAGGAGGATTACGTCATTCAAAATTCGATGGCTCTATATGTCATTGTTATATCACAATACGAGAAATATGCGTACATTTACGCAGATTTTTCATTATTTCATTTCGTCAAATATAATGCAGGACTCTAACATTTGGTGGCAAGAGTCTGAAAAGTGAAACGGACATTTATAGTGATTCAACGTAAAATCGCAAAACGAAAACAAAGTCCTTCAGGGACAAAGCTCCTTTGGACTAAAAAACTACGCCAAACTAAGGCTGCCTTTTTTGTTTAATTTTAAATTTCACGTTGCCATATTTTCTTCCAGTTTTATCAACTCAACTAACTACAAAGGAACCTGTTTTCCAAGTTTTACGAAGATCTATTAGACTAACCAGTTTAATACTGCTCCAATTCTAGATGACCTTTCTTTAAAGGACCAAAAAAAATTTTTTTTTCGCTGGGTTTTGAGCTTACATTTTGAAGAATGTTCTGCAAAACACTAGTTTTTTTATTATAAGGACCGTTAACCAAATTACAATGCTTTGTGGTCGCTATTTTTCGGTTAATTTTCTAATGCCGTGCAAACATTTAATTGTTTTTGATTCGGGACTTGTGAATAAAATAACGCAAACTAGACTGCAGATAATTCTTAATAGTTAATAATACTGAAATATACATTGTTGATGCAGTTTTGGGTTACATATGTATTAGTCAATATGAAATTCTTAAATTATACAAATATAAAACAAGGTGTAAAATATCAAAGAAAAAAATCTTAAATATACAATTTTTATTATACAAAAATAAAACATTGTTTAAAGATACATTAACATTATGCTCATACCCTAGCCTAAAAATAAAAGAATTGAAACTAAGGGGATTGCTCACAGGAAGCCTTAATTAAACAGTAGTTATAAGAAATGTTAATCAATGCTTAATATTATCATCTGGATTAAACACTTACTCCTATTTCATCAAGTGTATGGCAAACAGATATTCGGCAAATATGGCAAACACGGCAAACACATATGAATAAAAATGAGTTTTGCTTTTGTTTTTTCGACTGCAAACCATCTTAAGATATTATCGGATTTAATCTTTAAATTATTCCAATAATATTCAGAACAATGGGGGCCATTATTCTTAACTATAATTCAGAAAAGCAAATCCTATTTTGGTAAATGGTTTTCATTAATTGCATTGATGTTATTGATATCTGTAGAAACTATTAGTAAAAATAATTATAAATACTTTATTATTGACGGTTATGCATTACATTATTAAAGATCTTACTTTATAATTATCTCAGTTTTTCCTACTGAAAAGCAATAAATTTTATAATATGAAAGAATAAAAGAAATCAAATTACTTATTCCCTGATATTTGGGCATATTTCATCAGGCAATATACATGAAAATTATCCGTAACTGATTTTAAACTACCCACTCTCAGATCCTTTCAAGATTTTTTTCCCTAATATTCTGATAACGAACGAGATTTAAAAGCACTTTTCTATTACAATATATCTTCCCTTATAACCTCTAACACACACCTTTTCTGTCCCCTTCGTAATTAACGTCATTCTTCCTTTCTTGATCACTGGCAACGACACCAATTAAACGTCGCCTACTGTATAGAAAATACAGCTCTGAAAGTAAAACAAATTTGTCCCCACTTAAAGTAAAAATCACATGTAATTTTTACTGGGAGCGGATATAAGAGTTTTTAAAAAATAAGATTGTCTAAAGAATTTCTCATACAATTTAAAACGATGTCAAAAGAAGTAATATAGTACAGATGAGCAGCACCCGTCTTGAATGGAATCGGATCAGAACCGTTCGCTCACTCAAATGAATCGATTCTATTTTATGACTCACTAATAATAGCCAGATGAAAAACATCGGGAACTGAGAGTGAATCAAGAACGGTTATCTCACTTTTAGAATAATGGAGTGAATGGCGGAAAGAATCAAATAAGCAGAGGTATAGAATAGCGAAGATGGAGAGAAGAACGAAAAGAATCGAACAAGCAATGGGATCGGAAGAATCGATTTAATCAAATCACGAGCTCCCTGGATTAATTTCTTTCAACTGTGGTTCTGAGATTTCCTAAAAAATCTTTTCTACATAGAACTAGCATTAAAATTCGAGAATTAAAATGCTTTTAAAAAGTTGGAAAATGATACAAATTAAAATCACTAGGTTAAAGTTAGAAAATGTTAGTTCACTGTTTATCCATAAAGGCATAAACATTATTTTACCCCTAAAACGGAATCGAACATCCCTGGTAGGCTTCCAACAAAATTTTCGATGGTAAACTCTAAAACAGCCTCCTTTTTTACTTCCTTATACGAAGTAAAAAAGGAATATTGTAATCACGAAATAGTTCTGGTATCATATTTCAACGAAAATATCCATTTTGACCGCTACTGAATGCAATTTATGATTATTTTTGCGCCACATCTGTATGTAAAGACAGAATAAAGGATTCTTTTTTTTTTTTTTTTTTTTTTTTTTTTTTCCCAAAATGAATTACAAAATGGATTTAAAATGGATTAGTTGAGATTTTGTTCGTGACGTCTGTACGTACGCATGTATGTATCTTGCACAACTCAAGTACGAGAAGCCTCAGAACGTTGAAATTTTGTATATAGGACTGCTATAACATTTGTGCACCTACCCTTTTGGTTCAAATCGGCCGCACCAAACGTATATATATATGTGTGTGTGTGTGTGTAAGATATAATAAAATATGATAGCTGCCTTAAGAATAATTGCCAACCTAAAAATTAACATTCTAGATCTGGTGCTGATAACTCAATCTGTATTATAATGGAAATATTTTCAACAAAAATTTGAAAGACTTTTTAGTGAATATTTACCTTATGAAAACATTTGAACATTTATTTTGTGAAACTATTTTCATCAAGAGACTTTACAAAAAAATTTTCATTGGACATTCAAAAGACATTGGACATTTTAACAACTTGAATTAACTTAAAAATTATATTTGTGTTAATTTATCGTTTAGTTTTATTTAGAAATTGTATTGCTGTTATAATAATTATAAATTAGTCGTTTAAGCATTTCATTACCTGTATATGAGATAGGTCATGACAGGGCATAGGAAAACCTGCAGGCTATGTCCTTGACGCTTTCTCGTGTCTTTCCTCATATGATAAACTTTCTCTTGCTTCGCTAATGCTTTTCTGCCACCCTGCTCTCACAACCTTTCTTTTGAAGGGGAGAATATGTAAGATATAACAAAATACGATAGCTGCTTTAAGAATAATTGGCGACCTCAAAATTAACATTCTAGATTTGGAGCTCTTCCTAAATTCATCAGTTTTCCCAAATTTAAGATATTATATAACGCTGCTTGAGAAGCTAAAACTAA